CTGAACCCAGGAGGCGGAGGTTGCAGTGAGCCGAGATCGCACCATTGCACTCCAGCCTGGGTAACAAGAGCGAAACTCCATCTCAAAAAAAAAAAAAAAAAGTAGCTCTACGTCACTTATTTTGGTTCTCAGAAGGTTGCTGTTCAAACAACTACCTCTTGTGAAAGAAAGAGAAGAAAATGAATTCTTTTTAAAACTAAGCTTGTCACTTTTAGAAACAAACTTAACAAATTTCAGGGCATAGCAGGTAATCATTCAATAAATACGTGTCAAACATGTAAACAAGTCTAAATGTTGTTGTAATAAACCATTTACTTGGAAGATGTATGCGGAGATAACTAAGTCTGTCCTTAGCTTGAAGCATGTTAAGTAAGATTAACATGAATGACAAGTGTGGCCTCTGGAGTCAGACAGTCTGAGTGTGAATCTTACTGTCATTCACTAGCTGTGAGATCTTGGGCAATATTTGCACCTCAATTTCCTCATCTGCAAAATGGAAACAATAATGACACCTACTTCGTAGACTTTTGTGAGATTTGCATGAATTAATACATGCACAATGATTAAAAAAGTAAAAGTACCTGACATACAGGAAGCACTTAATAAATGTTAACATTTAATTACATGGATTGATTCTGCTTTAAAATTCTTTGTAGCAATGAAATGCCCTAAATTTTTCATGGGGTGTGAGACTGAGACTGAAATAATACAGACCACAGTTCCAGAAACTTTTTATAAAAAGTGGCTTGTAATCCCAGCACTTTGGGAGGCTGAGGCAGTTGGATCATCTGAGGTCAGGAGTTCAACCAGCCTGACCAATATGATGAAACCCTGTCTCTAGTAAAAATACAAAAATTAGCCTGAGGTGGTGGCAATTGCCTATAGTCCCAGCTATTCGGGAGCTGAGACAGAAGAATTCCTTGAACCTGGGAGGCAGAGGCTGCAGTGAGCGGAGATCATGACACTTCACTCCAGCTTGGGAGCCAGAGAGACTCCCTTAAAAAAAATAAAATAAAATAATCTGTCTTCGGGAATACTTATAATTTACATTAAAGCAGAGATTGAAATCTTTTCAGCCAGAACCTATACCTGTAAACATATAGCCAAAATTATATTTGTTTAAAAGTGAATTCACATTTTTACTCCTCCTCTTTTTCATTCTCCTATCCCCCCACAACCTTTTCTACTGCTATGACATGTTTTTCAATTAGTATAATTTTGATTTCTAGTTATGCTAAAGACACTTGACTGGATACCATACAAGAGGTAACTATATATAACTATATATATATTTATATATCTGCGTGTGTATGTGTATGTATATATTCTGGATTAAATATAAATAGGATGTAGAAATCTTATTTTTATGTATAGCATTGTTACTAGGGAAAACACATTCTACAAAGGCAAATACAGGTAATTGAGTATTCATTTTTATTCTTCTCAGTAAGACAAGGGCCTGGGGTTATTGATTAGACCAGCTTTGTCTTTAATTTCCTTCCAATAATGAAGAGGAATATTTTTGCCTAAGAGAACAGGGTGGTCTTTCAGGCCTACCTGACCTGGGTGAGATGGAGCACACACCCCAACCAGGTGTGGAGGTTCCCTGCCAGGGCACCTTTATGAGTTAGATGGTTACCAAGTGTCATGCCTTAAAGGGTTATGAGTTAGATCATCTCTTCAGATTATCTGCTGCACTGACTGATCTTAAATCACTCTTGCCATGGTTTAAGATCCTTACTCCATTGTGGCTTCCCACTGTGATTTATGCTTTGCCGGTATAAAGTAGAAATCCAAAGTACTAATGAATCATGTCCCTTCCCCTATTTGCAGCCACTCGTATTAAGTGATTTGAAATACAGTTTTATACATATGATTTAAATTTTATAAATACAATTTTAGATGATTGTCAAGCTCAGCAATATAGAAACACTAATGCTTTTAGCATTAAAAATCAAAAGCCGTCCCCCGCAAAATGTCGTAACTGTATATTTAGAAATTACTTAAAACATAAAATAATTAATTTGTTTATCAAATATAAACAACACCAGGTTCAAAATAGAAAATAGACACAAAATTCAGGTAAAACATAAGTATCGTATCAGCCAGGGCCTGCTGTCCCCAGCCTGACCCCCTTGCCCAAGCTGATGTCTGCCTCTTGCAGATACAGCCTTGCCCAATGCCCATGCCAGTGAGAACCGTACCTCGTTCCAATCCAGTTCTTTCTCCAGAAGAGAGACGAGAAATCAGGAAATAGTTTATTATTTCAATTCCCAGCACCTAGCCCAATATCTGGCACAGTGCCTAGAATATAAAGAGCATTCAGTAAATATTGATTGAATGAGCAAATATGCTGACCCCCCACCACCTGCCTCAACATAGTATTCAGTGTGACTTGGGATGGATTTAGCCTCCTGAGGCTTCCGTTTCCCTATCTGCCCTTCACATGTGTGGCTGGCCATCCTACCTGACCCTTCTGATCTGGATGATCATCTGCCCTGGTTCTCAGTCTAAAACCCTATGGAGTGCCACAGTGGAGTCTGCAACACCACTTAATGGGCCAAGGGGTGAGAAATGCCACGGGAGCCAGACCCTCTTACTTGGGTCCTGTAATTCTTTTTTTTTTTTTTTTTTTTTTTTTTTTTTTTGAGATGAAGTCTCACTTTGTCTCCAGGCTGGAGTACAGTGGCAGAATCTCAGCTCACTGGAACCTGTGCCTCCTAGGTTCAAGCGATTCTTCTGCCTCAGCCTCCCGAGTAGCTGGGACTACAGAAGCATGCCACCATGCCTGGTTAATTTTTTTATTTTTAGTAGAGACGGGTTTTCACCATGTTGGCCAGGAAGGTCTCAATCTCTTGACCTCGTGATCCAACTGCCTTGGCCTCCAAAAGTGCTGGGATTATAGGCGTGAGCTACTGCGCCCCGCCCCTATTCTGCTATCTTGCTCTGCCCCTCCATCTCTGCTATTGACTTCTAATTTAATTTTCTTTTGGTTGGAGAACATGGTTTTAATTGTTTGAATCCTTTAAACTTTATTGAGATTTGTTTTATGCCCCGGAATATGGCTTATGTTGGTGAATATTCCATGTGCACTTGAAAAGAATATTTTTAGGATGCGTATTGAAGTGCTATATAAATGTCAATAAGATCAAGTTGGTTAATAGTGTTTTTCAAGTTTTCTATATCATTACTGATTATCTGTCTACTTGTATCAATTATTAAGAGAATGATGTTGAAGTCTTTGTGATATGGTTTGGATCTGTGTTCCCACCAAATCTCATGTCAAATTGTAATCGCCAGTGCTGGAGGTGGGGCCTGGTGGGAGGTGATTGGATCACGGGGGCAGTTTCCCGTGAATGGTTTAGTACTATCCCTTGATGCTGTTCTTGGGATAGTGAGTGAATTCTTGTGACATCTGATTGTTTAAAGGTGTGCAGCACCTCCCATCAACCTTTCTATTGCTTCTGTTCCTGTCTTGTGAGACTTCTGTTCCCCTTTGCCTTCTGCCATGACTGGAAGCTTCCTGAGGCCTCCTCGGAAGCAGAAGCTGCTATGCTTCCTGTATAGCCTACAGAACCATGAGCCAATTGAAGCTCTTTTTTTTTTTTTTTTTTTTTNTTTTTTTTTTAAGCCAGAGTCTCACTCTGTCGCCCCAGGCTGGAGTGCAGTGGCACAATCTCAGCTCACTGGAACCTGTGCTTTCCAAGATCAAGTGATTCTCCTGTCTCGGCCTCCCGAGTAGCTGGGACTACAGGTGCACACCACTATACCCGGCTAATTTTTGAATTTTTAGTAGAGACGGGGTTTCACCATATTGGGCAGGCTGGTCTTGAACTCCTGACCTTAAGTGACCCACCTGCCTCGGCCGCCAAACGTGCTGGAATTACAGGCAGCCTGTAATCCCAGCCCATCTAATTCTTTTTCCCTAATCCAAGGCCTTATGCAAGGGTCTCTTCTATTGCCTAGGAACCTCTTCACTAACAACTCTGAGTCCTAATCTTGACAATGCCTGCTTCCCAACGCTGTGCACTGCTCCCTGTTTCGTTCTTTGAATACTGTTGCCAGAATAGTATCTTCTCCATATTATGACTCAATTTTTACTCTTTTTGTTATAAGGCAGTTTACTCTCATCGGTTGTGCAGTTAAAATCCAAGTATGAAATCTAATTAATATAACTTTATCATAGATGTGCTAGAAGCTACAAGTCTTGAATTTCTTTCTTGGTTTTCAGCTAGCCAGTCTTTTCTGAAATAAATTGAAGCCACCCTCTTCTTAGAAACAAATCCTTCTTTCTTCATTTTATTTTGCTGCTTTTAGTAGTATATTGAATTCTGCCTTCCATATTTCTAATCAGCCTTCACAGTTTCTTCCTTTTCTGTCCCTTTCTCTCTTTTCCTATTTCCACCATATCAACTAAAGCTTTCCTTAGCTCCTGCTTTACCTACAGCAATACCTCCTTCTTGGCCTTCGAACTTATTACACCAGTTTATATTGGCTCTGGTCCTTATTACCTACGGGGGCTGAGGCAGGTTGCTTTCACTCTGATCCTCAGTTTTTTTCATCTGTAAAATGGTCATATTGGAGTATGGACCTTGTAAATTTGGTATAAATGTAAGCAAATATCCTTGGTTCCCCTGGGCTATAAATCCAAATGTGGTTATGTTAATTAAATATCTTAATAGTTCTCATCCTTCCCCAAATATTTCTGAGAAACTCATAAAATGGATTAACCCAATGAATTTTTATTGAGCACTCTGTGTGAGTCACTGATGTGGGCCCTGGGGACACAACAATAAACAGATAGACCTGGACACTGCTTTCCTGGCATTTGCATTCTAGGATAGGAAAAGCAATGATTAAAAATAGAAGAAAAAGAAATAAAAATTACAAAACATGAGACAGTGATAAGTGCTATGGAGAGAAAGTCAGGAGAGGCAGAGTAGGGAGGCAGAGCGGTTGTTCAGTTTTACACAGGGCGGTCAGAGAGGGCCTCATTGAGAAGGTGTTTTTGTACAAAGCCATTAGGGTGTCATTAGCGAGCAGATCTTACCTGTGCTCTTAAGCTACTGCTGTCATTGTGTATGTTGTTATAGTTCGCTATTTGACGCTGGTGCTGACAGCACCACTGTGATCTAGAAGTCCACAAACTGTGTTGGTGCGGAGCCCTGCGCATTTACCCTAGCCAATGATGCTTTTGAAAAACAGGAAGTAGGAGAGTTGACTTTCTGCATTAATGCTCAAGGTAAAGTGTTATTACTGAATTAACTGAAATCAACTACTATTTCCTTGATACAACTTGGATAAAACCTTTTTCTGCAATCACAGCTAGCACTGTGGTGCTGGTTTTATGGGAAATCGAGGACTGTGAAGGCCCCTGTGATGCCTGTCAGCATCCTCTTTCACAGTGAGAAAAAAAAACTCTCTTCCTTAATATGACATTGAGTTACCAGTTACTGGGCGATAGGCCGTAGAGCATTACAGTTTCATGGCTCTTTCAAGGACTCAGAGGCCCTTCTTTGTTTTCTTCTGGGAAGACACATACAAGGAAGCTGGATTAGGCCCTTCCAGGTGACAGCCAGACTTGCCATGGCCTTCCAGGTCTAAGGCCCTGTCTTACCATTACAAACTCCTTCCTCAACCAAATGCGCTCTCTCCAGGGGCCCCGCCTTTCCTGCCAGCAATCTGCCTACCTCTGGAACTCTCTCCAGACATGCCCATGAATGCTGAAAACCCTACTGAGGCAAAGATTTCCAATTTGCCTCCAGCAAACTTCTCAGCCCCCTTAAATCAATGGATACCAATCATTGCTTAAAGGAAAGAGACATTGTCTTATTCTGCATCACAGCCATATCTGTCTGAATTCTGGCCCATCTAGGACATTGCATTACACAAGAAATAGAAAAATAATTCATGAAGTTCCTAGCATAATTCTTCTGTTTAGTAGGTATTCAAAAATTGGTAGCTATCACAATTATTTAGGTGGTAGTTGAATGGGCAATTGTAAACATATTATTTATAATTTTTGTTTTTTTCAAAATATTTTACAAAATCATGTATTATATAACAAGAAGCAAATTCTTTTAAAAACAAAACAAAAAAAAAACATGTACACACCAAACTCTTGACACATGGCTGTTTTCTTCCCCTCCTTTTCATCTGAACTTCTCAGAAAAGTGTCTTATACTCACTATTTCCACTTCCTCAACTTGCTTCTATCTAGCTTCTGCCCCGATTATTCCTCTAAAAACTGCTCTCACTGAACCCACTAGCTGCTTGCAAATGTTCTTCCCTTGGAAGTATGTTGGTGGGTCTGGGAAAGGAAGGCACCCTCAGGTAAGCAATAGCCCAGAGCAGAGTGGATTGAGTAGAAGGGAGGGACAAGGATACAAGAGGTGAGGCAATGTCATCCAAATTGAAAGAATGGTGCAGAACCAAAGTTGGATCCAAACACTCACCTTGTCCCAGAGCCAGGCATTCCAGCTAGAAGTCTGCTCACCTGAGCAGAAGAGAGAGTCCAGAAACAAGCCAACTCCAAACAGGTCATAAGCTGACAAACCAAAGTAGTCCCAGAAGGAAGAGTGCAAGGAGTTGGAAGGCCAAGAGGAATTCCAAACTCAGCAACTTACCAGCTGCATTTGGCTGGGCTTTCCTGGGAATATGTGATGAAAAGTCCAGACCTACCGTGTTATCTCTTTCAGAAATGAGAGATGGGCTCCCAGGGCACTCCTATACTGGATATGTCAACACAGTGCCTGCCACACCCAACTTCCTCTTTGAGATGAAAGTGCCCCACCCACAGCCCCCTGCTTTGAGAAGCAGAGGTAGGTTGTTCTTTACCTAGGGATGGCACCTGATTGGACCAGTGATTGGCCCTTGACATTATGGGCTGCCTCTCCAAAAACTAGGGCCTGAATGGAAAAGATTAGTTTGATCCATCAGATTCTCTCCTTCTGGGATTTGAATTGGGAAACACAGATAGAAAGAAGCAGTTAGCCATGGAAGAAAGGGTGGCATACAATGGAGTGGGGGCATGGAGGGTTACAGCAAACCAAAACTATGAGGAAGCAGATCAATGTGATAAGAAGGTAGAATTTATGAATAAGCAGCAATTCTGAGGTAGAGAAAATACATGAAAAGTAAACAGAATTTGTTAGTTGAAATAAGACAACAAGAAGCAAACCTGCAAAGAGTCGCAAGAAATGAGAAATGATACACCATTGTTGTTAACATCCTCTCATCTGGCGCAGCTAAAAGACAGTTTCAGACCACCTAGATTTGCTAAGGCTCCTGTGCTCTTCATCGGGTCTACCCCAGCGTGCTGGGTTTCCATGCTGGTGTTTGTTGGGCTCCTAATATGAGGTAGGCGCAGTTCTAGGAGTTTGGGATTCATGGATTAACGAAACAGGAAAATACATAAAACAAATCCCTCATAACTTGAGGCAGGGTTTCTGTTTCAAAGGGCCAAGTGAAAATAACTGCTCTTGCCTTCACCATTTCCCATGGTCCAGTTGGTGTCATTACGGTGTCATTACGAGTCTACACCCACTTTGGCACACAGTTCATATATATCACCCTGCTAGGGTGGGTAACTGGAGAATCAGGAAAAGAGAAAAAAACAGAAGTTGGGAGATGGGACGTGAAGGAAGTCAGATGATGTATGATCATGGCAGCGGAGTGGCCGAATGCCCAGGCTTTAAATTAACTTGGGTTCAAAATATGGCTCTATCACTTATTCATTATGTGGCTTTTTTGGCAGTTTTCTCAGCTGTGAACTAGTGATAAAACAGCATTCTCCTCACTGCATTTTTTTGAGAATTAAGTGAGAAAATATATGCAGAGCATTTATCATAGTACTTGGCCCATAGTAAATATATGATAAATGGTAACTATTGTTGCTGATGCTATTATTACCAACAGTCCTCTAGTTTTCCCATTAGTTGGGTAGAATGAATGAGCTGGAGGGGAATTAGATGGCACCCAAACTCAAACCTCTCTGAAGGCTGCTGCCAGCCATAACATGGGAGGCTCATTAAATCACCTTCTAGTTGGTGCATACCTTCCCAGGTACTGTCTAGCTGCAGGAGTATCAATAATACTGAGAAGCGGTGTTAAAAAAAACCAGTAAGGATAGAAACTGTTGTACGCAAAAAAGCAGTTCTGGAGGGCAGGAAATAATAATTAGTGAAAGCAAAGTGTGTAGCAGTGGCATTAGGCAGAGCCGTCAGTTGTGTGGGGGAGGCGAAAGAACACACGTGTTTCTTAAGCACTGCTTTTGTCACCTGTGTAGGGGTGGTGGGTAGGTGGATGTAGACCGGATAGGCCCAGGCTGAGGCATAGCTGAGGGCTGTGGTTGGAAAGCAGTGCTTAGAGAGAGTGAAATAGAAGCCCTCCACCCTGGAGTGGATGGAGGAGTAACGCAGGGAGGGAAGAGGGCACGGTCATGGCTGGTCAAGAAGGGCAGACCTCCCGGCGACTTGGGAGGCTGAGGTGGGAGGATCACCTGAGCCCATGAGTTTGAGTTCAGCCTGGGCAATATAGAAAGACCCTGTCTCTTAAACAGTCAACCAATCAACCCAGGAAGGGAGGAGACTACAAATAGAAGTCCCAAAACTGGAGTTTCAGATGTGAGTGTGGATCAGGAGTCATTGCTGCTCTTGAGGAAGTTGAGTTATCTTAGCTTTGGGTCCAGGTGCTTTTGTGGTAGTGCACCAGACCACGTCACCTCAGGGAGGGTCGGTGACTGTGCTGAGGCTGCATTCTGGCCTTCCTAGCAGGAATGAGCAGTACCCTACTCCTATAAAGACCTTTGTGGCATTTAACACGGATCCAAATTGTCCCCAAGAGGCCCTGTATCAGGATTAACACCATGCATAAATGTTTGAAATATATCATTTGAGCAGAATGATTGTGAAATACTCAAGCCATGGTCTTCCAGAGCGAGTCTCTCTGTTGCCTCTTGTACTCAGGCTTTCAGGATACAGCATCTGGTCTGTGATTCTGGGTGCTGGGCACGCAGCTGCTGGAGCACCCAAGCATAGGTAAGGCAAGCTGCCTTGCATAGCATAAGCTGAGCATCCAGGTTATGGCAGACTGAAGTCCCTATCCTACATTGAACCCTCTAGGGCTTGAAAACATGCTTGACCACAGGCCTTTCCCTTTCCAAGCAGAGATAATGAAGTATGACACAGAGCAGCTCATGGGTCAGAGTGGCTCACTCCGCAGTGTTGGCCGCACTAGTCTCAACCAAGCGAGGTTCCAGCTGTGCAGCACTGGCATGCAGGTGCAGAGGACACCCTGTGCAGCTGAGTTGCTTGCATTCATTTTAATTTCTCAGTAAAATTTTTACGTGTATGGCTTTATGCTAGTTCCTTTATCTCTCCATGTTTCAGTTTCCTCATCTGCAAAACAGCAATAATAATAGCATATACCTCATAGGGTCATTACAAGTATTAAATTAGTTAATACAGGTAAGCCCTTTCAACAGTGCCTGGCACATCATCAGTGCTTGCTTGTGCTGTACTGGGGCAGAGGTGCAATGAGTCTTGACTTGCCTAAGCATAGTGTCAACCTCAGCACATCAGGCAAACTTCCTTCTCTATTTTAGGAGGTCATAACTAGGGCAGTTGCACAGAAAAGAACAAAATGCTGTGAGACATCTCTTGAAATGTCTAGGTATCTTCACTGACCAGGGTGTCTCTCACTCCAGAACCACAGATAACTGGCTACACAGAATTTGGTTCAGAAATGTCACACATTTCTGTCCTGTTTTGAAGGTGCTGATGTTTCAGGTAACACAGAACTGCTGGGGCTACAGTATTGTATGAAGCATAGCTGTGCAGGTGGTATGTGGCTGTGTTTCAGGGTATATTAAGATGTTTTCCAAGAACAGCAAAAAGCATCCCCTAGAAAGTCATGCAGGGGCCGGGCATGGTGGCTCATGCCTGTAATCCCAGCACTTTGGAAGGCCAAGGTGGGTGGATCACCTGAGGTCAGGAGTTTGAGACCAGCCTGGCCAACATGGTGAAACCCCATTTCTACTAAAAATACAAAAATTAGTTGGGCACGGTGGCGGGTGCCTGTAATCCTAGCTACTTGGGAGGCCAGCAGACAAGGATCGGTTGAACCCGGGAGGCGGAGGTTGCAGTGAGCTGAGATCACGCCACTGAACTCCAGCCTGGGCAACAGAGTGAAGCTTTGACTCAAAAAAAAGAAAGTCATGCAGGATACTGATCATGCTGCTGCCACCGGTCAAGAGGCATTGTGTTCTCTGCAAACTCTTTGTTATCCAAACGTAACGATGGAAGGCAGATAAGGTTACAGGCACTCGAAGATCTAATTTCATGGTCCTTCTGAGCTGGCCAAGGAACGTGAGGGAACCAGGCAGTATTAGGATCCCCATAATCCAAGCAGAGGCCCAGTCATCTGCTTTTCTTCTTCACAAAATGCCCCACTGCCTTCTTGAGAGAAGTGGGGCCCAGTGGATCTCAAGGTCTATGAATTCCTGCCAAGTGTCAAGTTAGGGGTGTTGTGGTGGCCATAGGAAGGCCACATAAAATTCAGAACACCAGTTAATTTTCAAATAAATGATGAACAATGTCTTAATATAAATATATCCCAAATATTGTGTGATATATACTTATACCAAAATATATTTGTTATCTGAAGTGCAAATTTAACTCGGTATCCTGTATTTTCATCTTCTAAATCTGATAACCCTCGCTGGGAAGTATGGTCAGGGAAGGCTGATGGATGGGTGCAGACTCCAACTAAACAAAAATAATAGAGATGCTGGAGGATTCTGGTGCCCTCACATCAGAGGGAACTCATAATACTGGTCTGTTCGGTTCAACTATCTGAGAGTGAGGCAGGCCCAGATATGTACCCACTCTAATGCAGAAGTTGGCTACTCTATAGATTTCGAAGGCTCTTGCTGATGAATCAGGGCTGTAAGAAAGTCCCAGTGGTGCCCACACAGTGTGAGCTTTCAGACTATAGCCAAGCCACTAGGCCAGAAGACTTGAGAAGTCTCATTTACATAAGTATCTTCTTGCCCCCAAATAAAAGCAGCTTTGTCTCTCTGTAAACTACTGGTTCTGGGTCAAAAAATGACATGGCAAATGGACAGGGTCACCTGAAGACAGAGAGCTTGCTCTGGCAACAGGCAGTGCAGGGCTTGGCAAGTCTGACCAGCAACCTGTGCTCTCAAAGGCAGCAGCCCCATTGTCAGACATTTGCTACATCTACAGAACAGACACAGCAGCCACCAGCTGAGACCACAGCTCATTTCCCTTATGGAGGCTGAGTTTCGGAGAATCGGCTGAAAATCCAGCCTTGTGGATAGAGGGCCAGTGCCCAACCTCACTGACTGAAGGTGGGAGTGGGTAGTAACCAGAAGTAAGGATGTGGTGTAAGGCTGGGTTTCCTAAGCTGAGAGAACAGTCCAGAACCTCAGACAAGTGTACACAGGTAGAGTCTGAAAGCCAGGTCACTAAGACCCAGAAACAAAGATCTACCCAGACAGGTAACAAAGGTCAAGGCAGTCTTAAGAAACAAAGTTGAGAGAGTGAACCAGTAACAGGTTGATGTTTCCAAAGTCAGTGTATAACTGGCCACCTGTGTTTTTTTATTATCACTATTCCTGGGTTGTGGGTGGGGAATAGGTTGGTTACAGGTGCTTCCCTGAGGTGAGAGGTGCTATCAGGGACCAGACCTGACTCTCAACACCAAGGAACATGTCCCAGGTCTGCCCTTCAACTGCTCTGTTATCCCTGACTCTGTTAGACACTCTCTTTTGTTGGCACTCTGCACACTTGGCTTCTGAGACCGTACCCTGCAGGTCTCCCCCTAGCTGCTCCTTCTCTGTCTTCTTCAAGGGTTCATGTTCTTCCTGCTCCTTAAGTGTTCATATTCCTTAGAGTCCTGCCCTGCCCTTGGCCCACTGCTCTTCTCTTTTCTTTCTATCTTTGGTTCCTGGATGTTCTCATTTACTGTCATGCTTCCAACTGAGATTATTACTGGTTAAAATGTCAGTTGTGGGCCGAGCGCGGTGGCTCAAGCCTGTAATCCCAGCACTTTGGGAGACGGAGGCGGGTGGATCACGAGGTCAAGAGATCGAGACCATCCTGGTCAACATGGTGAAACCCCGTCTCTACTAAAAATACAAAAAATCAGCTGGGCATGGTGGCACGTGCCTGTAATCCCAGCTACTCAGGAGGCTGAGGCAGGAGAATTGCCTGAACCCAGGAGGCGGAGGTTGCGGTGAGCCGAGATCGCGCCATTGCACTCCAGCCTGGGTAACAAGAGCGAAACTCTGTCTCAAAAAAAAAAAAAAAAAAAAAGTCAGTTGTGCAGATGAAACACTTGGGTCTTTTTTGCAACTTCCTAGCTGTGAGACCTAGGCCAAGTTACGTCATCTTTTAAACTTCCCTCTTTTAAACTCATCAGCCAAATGAGTATAAATAACATCAACTACATATATATATATATATATATATGTATATATATATATGCACACTCACATATATATTTCATATATGTGTATTTATATATATTTCATATCATTGAGTATAAATAGCATCATCTATATATATATATATATAGTTGATGCTATTTATACTCATTGATATGAAAATCAGTGAGTCTTGATGATGTGACACACAGTGTTTTCCAGCAAAGAAAGCTCAGTATGCTGCCAGGGACCACAGATGCATCACACATGCATCGGGTACCAAGGGTGTTCTGTTGGCCAAAGTTCTGTTTGACAAAATAGGACTGTTATCACTTTGAAAATGTTAGTAGCGATATATACATATATATAGGTGTATATGTACATATGTATGTATGTATAGGTGTATATATACATTTATACATCTGACATATAGATGTGTATATATACATATATGTGTGTGTGTGTGTGTGTGTGTGTGTGTGTGTATCTACAGAATAGATACAGCAGCCACCAGCTGAGACCACAACTCATTTCCCTTATGGAAGCTGAGTTTCAGAGGATCAGCCAGAGATACAGCCCTGTGGATTGGGGGCTACTGCCCAACCTCACTGACTCAAGGTGGTATGTATTATTTGTTGATAAAAACGTCTTTAAAAAGCAATGATTCAAGGCCAAGTCCCTGGCCCTTAGGAAGTTTGTGACTTTGGTGGTGAAAACAGACTCATAGCAGATTACCTTATTGTTTAGAATACTTGCTGCCCCTGCCTTTGGGGCCTATGGAAGGAATTTGACACCTGGCTTGGCCATGGACTTTCACTGGCCAATAGAATGCAAACATAAGTGATAAGTGCTGAGCAGAAACTGTAAGAGCCATCATGTGGTTTCATCGTTCTCTTTTCCCTTGTTATGATGTTACCATATCCCAAATAGGGCCAGCTTCTTCAGTCTAGATTAAGAATGCAGAAGACATGAAACAGATCAGTGGCCAGTTCATGATGTACACATAACATGAACAAACACAAATCTACGTTGTATTAGGATATGGGGATTATCCATTACTGTATCACAGCCTAGCTAAAACTGACTGATACAACTCCTTTGAG